AAGATGTAATACATCATGTGAAAGAGCCCTGCACACAAATTAATGTTAGTGGAACCAGTGATCCAGAAATGTCCACGAATAAGCATAATTTAACTGCCATKGATATGCTATTGGATTATAACTCTGAGGCCCGTTTGSACCGTTGAAAATAAGCTTGGCTTTGCCATTAAGCTCAGCTTTAAAATAAAATTGGTTTGCACCACATTATAAACCAGGCTTACAGCATTCAAAGCTCGGCTTCAATTAAGCCGTCAACTTTGGTGGCTTATGGTGTTAAACCGTAAATTTTAACCTTCGTTTTTCTTCCTCATACATGTGGCGATAGTTAACAAAATTGAAAATTACGATAACAAATAAAAAACAAAAACAATGGAAATCGAAACTTGTTTTGACATATTTGAGGACGATCTAGATATCTTTGAGATAATCGAATTTGGATTTCCAAAGACGATATATAACAGAAATAATCCATTGGAGGACTTGGAGGATCTTCTAACTTTTTAAAATATATTTGGGTTCTACAAAACCACCACAAATATAAATGAATTGAATTATTTAATTGATGTTGGTCAATTGCAAAATAAAACCAAAAATAATCTTCAAAATCACCGCAACACTACACTACAACAATTCATTAATTACTTCGAAAATTTGCGTAAAAAKTTTAGTCCATCAGTATAAAATAAAATTTCAATACCCATATAAAATTCTTTAATAAAAAATGGTTAAAAAACAGATGTATTTAAAATATGAACGTTGGGTTGGACAACACTTTAAACGCAAGGTTCGTAAATTGTACAATTTAGGAACCTTGCCTTAAACGTGTTCTAAACTGAAGTTAATCCCGATCTATCTTCTCAATCGCCAAAGTACTAATGTAAAGATAGATATAATGAATACATTTATTCAGTCTATCATGGCAGCAAACGGTCATAATTCTACATATGGCAAACCGATCTTCGCTTTAAAGCCGAGCTTAATTTTTAAGGTTGGTAAGCTTGACTTTAATATAAAACGGTACAAACGGAGTGATACAAATGATGATGATGATGATATGTTTCAGAAGAGCAGATAAACCACAACCTTAGTGCCAATAGTTGGTAGAAAGAACAACAAAAAAATAACCATTTATTACACAACTTGGTAAGCGATATCTTGCAGTACCTGCTACCTCAGCGGCTTCAGAAAGGTTTTCTTCAAGTGCTGGAAATGTAGTACGTCCATATCGCGTAATTGTCTGAGTTTCGAAATGGTATATGTACTTGTATTTTTACATAAAAATAATAAATTGACGAATGCTAAATAAGTATGTATTGCGTACTCGTCTTTTCTAATTTAAAATGTTATAATAATATTGTTAGATTCAGATTTAAAATATTCAAATTTGACACCTTTTTGATAGAGGAACAGTTGCCGAATGTACGTAAGGCCGTTTAAGGCCGGCCGCTCACGCAGCCGCCCAAAAAGACGAAATTGTAATACATTTTGTCACGAGAAGTTGGAAAATAAACATTACAATTATTCGTGTATCTATGAAATATTCTGTTATTTTTTTACAACCATATAGATTAAATAAATCTTTTAATCTTT